AAGAAGAAAATAATGCTGAGAGTTACCAAGATTTTATAGACTCTTTAGATGATGAAGAGTTATGCAATCTAGATAATGCAATGGAAGGGTTAGATATGATATCTGAAAATATTGATAGCTCAATAGAAACAAAAATAGAATTAATGAATCAAGAAGACTGTGAGCATGATTGGATAAAAGGAAGAGGTGATTATAATATAAAATGTACTTTTTGTATATTTTACCCTAGTCAAGAAAACAGACTTACATGTAGTAAATGTTTAAAGCAAGCATGTGCTTCATGTCTAAGAATTAATAACCAAAAATGGAGGCAAGAAGTAGAGCTAGAACCAGAAGATAAACTACTAATAAGTAGAGTCAGGAATTTGGAGAATAGAATAAATAGCTTAGAAGCTGAATTAGAGGAGCTAAGGAGTAAAATAGAGCTCAATGAAGTAAATAAGATCGAAGAAAATGAAAGAGGCATGACCGAGTTAAAGGATCAAGCCATATCAAATAGAAAAAATGATAAAGCTATACAATTAAAAGATGCCATAATAAACTTTGGTAGCAAATATATAGTTAGATTACCATTTAAAGAGATCATAGGAATAAGAGTACCTGTAAAAGTAAAATTAACGCCTAATATCTCCTATAAAATATTAGCGTTAGTAGACACAGGTTGTACAAAAAATATTATACATGATAAATATTTTGTAAAATGTCCAGAGATAGTTCATACAATAGATCAAGATAAAGCAGAAATATCTACTGATATGTCAGGAATAAAAAAGGTTCATAATCAACTAGCTTATGATGTTGAGGTACAAATAAATAACACAAAATATATAATGGATGAAATTACAATAAGAGATTTGTCTATGATACATGATGATATGATATTAGGATTAAGATTTTTACAATTCTCTTTACAAACAACAATCATATATGAGCAAGGAATAACATTTATTCCTTATCAAGACAACATTCCATATATAACAGAAGTAAGAAAGTCTAATCCAGAAAAGACCAACCTAGAACTCCAAGGATCTGATGAAAATGTTCCTGATGATTATATAGATGAAGAATTAGGTGAAAATATTGAAGAATTTCATATAGCAAATTCATGCATAGAATGTATCAGTCTGCAATCATTAGCACCTAATTGGTATAGAGATATAAAATCTAAAAAGGATATAGATAAAATTATAACAAGATTAGAAGATATTCAGATAATAGGAGAAATACCAATGAAGCATTGGGACAAGAATGGTATATTATGTAAAATTAACATAATAAATCCTGACTATATAATTAAGACAAGTCCTATAGAAGCAACACCTAAAAAGATATAGAAGAATTTAAAATGCATATTGAAGAATTACTACAATTAGGAGCTATAAGAGATAGCCAAAGTCCTCATAGATCAACTTCATTTATAGTTAGAAATCATCTTTGAAATAGCTAGAGGAAAGTCAAGAATGGTTATTAATTATAAAAGGCTAAATGATAATACTATAGATGATGCATATAATATCCCAAATAAGCAAGAATGGATAAATAGAATACAGGGAAGCAAATATTTTTCAAAATTTGATCTAAAAGTGGGTTTTGGCAAGTAAAATGGCGGAAGAATCAATAGAATGGACTGCTTTCACATGTCCTCAAGGTCATTTTGAATGGCTAGTAATGCCCTTAGGATTAAAGAATGCCCTGCTTTATTTCAAAGAAAATGCAAAATATTTTTAATGAAAATCAAGAATTCATATTAGTTTATATTGATGACTTATTAGTATTCTCAAAATCTTATAAAGAACATATAGCTCATCTGAAAACCTTCTTTAGAAAGGTAGAACAACATGGGTTAATATTGTCTAAAAGAAAAATGGAGATATGTAAGGAAAAGATAAACTTTTTAGGTCATGAAATAGGAGAGGGAAAAATTTATTTATAAGATCATATTGCAAAGAAAATTTTAGAATTTCGGATGTCATGAATGATAAGAAAACCTACGACAATTCTTAGGAATAGTCAATTATGCTAGAAATTATATTGAAAATTTAGCTAAGTTAATGGTCCATTGTATGCAAAATTAAGAAAAATGGACAAAAATATTTTAATTTCTGAAGATATAAAGTTAGTAAGAACTATTAAAGAAAAAGTCAAAGATTTAAAACCCCTAGAGTTACCTTTAGATGATAATTATTTCATTATAGAAACAGATGCATCCAAGTTAGGATGGGGTGCAATATTAAAACAAAAACCACATAAGTACTCTCCAAAGTTAGAAGAAAAAATATGTAGGTATGCTTCAGGAAAATATAAGCTAAAAGCAATAAACAATACGGATAGGGAAATTTTAGCTGTTATAAATACAATAAATGCTTTTAGACTATATCTAGGATTTAAAGAGTTCACAGTTAGAACCGACTGTGAAGCTATATGCAAATACTATAATAAAATCAATAGTAAGAAAAGTTCAACTAGGCGATGGGTTCTATTTGAAGATATTATTACTGAAATGGTTATAAAGTAATATTTGAGCATATAAAAGGCAAAAGACAATACATTGCACGATATATTTTCAAGATCTTCTATTTTGCGAGAATGAAGAGAGGAACAAGCCCTATTGGGGGTGAATGTTTCAACTTTGGAACCGATAATAAGTTAAGAATTTTTCCACCAAATACCTATAAATTTAAGCCTCGAGACCATATTGTTCTAGATGATATACAAGAATGCATTCTAGACAATTTCTGGTTTCAATATAACAATAAAAGAGAAGATAAATGTTATATGCTAGCTATATTAAATAGTCTTGCTGAATATTTTCATATGATTAATGGTAAAATACAACCAAAAGAACCATCTAGCAATATGGAGAAAAAAGCCATATATGTTATATATAGGGGAAAAACACCAGGAATTTATATATCATTTGAAGAAGTCATTGCTCAGCAGATAGAAAAAAAAAAAGATAGAGGAATGTCTTGGAAAAAATATTTAGACATTGATCAAGCTCTTTCATATGCAAGAACTATTCTGGAAGTAAACTATTATTTAGAATATATATATATATATATATATATATATATATATATATATATATATATATATATATATATATATATATATATATGTGTGCGCGCGCGCGCGCTGCATGTGATCGACTCCAACCTCGTGATAAAGAGGATGAATATATATATATGTGCGCGCGCGCGCGCTGCATGTGATCGACTCCAACCTCGTGATAAAGAGGATGATTGCAACCTTGCAGGGACCTCTGCCACGCAAATAAGATGGACTAGGAGTATATATATGGCTTGAGACTTGAGGTGACCACACACTGATATTGTACATACCCTACACAAAAATGAATTAAAAACGTGGTATTTATTCCTTTTCGTGAATCTTATTTTTCTTTATGAAATATATTGTCATGGAAAGGGAATGTAACCCTAAATCTAGAGGTTCAGTAGAATAATATATTTTCCCAAATGTTTGTGCTAAGAAAACATAATTCACTTTGTATTTTTATTTGAAAGGAGTACACACATTATTGCTTCATATATAAATAATAAAAGATATTTTGTATTTTGTAGGGCTCCGTGCTCAAAGAAAGAGAAGAACAAACAACCCAACAGATTTACTAACCACTCCATTTTCTATGAAAAACCAGATTTACTAACATCTAAATCAAACTTTTGTGGGCCAAAAATGTGGGGATTTATGGCGCGGACGGGGGGCCGGGGCATGCATGGTTTGATGGGCTTTTCTCGTCTGCACGTGGTAGGGTCGTAGGCGCGTAGATGCAGATACTGATGAGGATGGTGATCCATGACCATGACCATGATGCATGGCAATGTGCAGTACTACTAGTAGCATGTACCATGCGTGCATGGCAGAGAATGTGACGGCGTGTTTAGTTGGAGGGAAAGTTAATTTGGGTACTATATCACTTTCGTTTTTATTTGGCAATTAGTGTTTAATCATGGATTAATTAGGTTCAAAACGTTCGTATCGTAATTTTCCAATAAAACTGTGTAATTAGTTTTTTCGGTCACGTTTAATGCTCTATGCACGTATCGCAAGATTCGATGTGATAAATATTATAGCACTTTTTTTGAAAAGTTCTTGAACTAAATGCGCGCTGAAGCTGCAGCAGCTAGCAAGGTGACGCCAAATCAAAAGCTCAAATAACTAGGATCAATCATAATTCAGAAAGGAAGCTTATGTGCAATGAAAGTAAACATACCTTTTTTTTATTTTTACGAATTTACAAATGAAGCTTATACTTGGGAATATATAAAAGAAATGGAAAGGAAAAAACTGTCGGTCTGTAATCTGTGTACGGGGATTTCTGTCGGTTTCTGTCGCTCCTGTCAGTATATATTTTCGTTTTCAGAAGTACTCGTACTAGTACTACTACTCCTGTCAGTATTTTGGCTTTAATGAATGGCTGTTGCTAGTCTGTACTCTGTACCAGCAGCAGAGTTGAATGTTTGGTACCAGCAGCAGAGTAGTAGTACTGGTGTTTTTCTTCGGTAAATTCCAGCTGGTATATCCGATGGCTGTGTTTAGTTTATGAATTTTGGGAGTTTGGCTACTGTAATATTTTTGTTTTTATTTGATAATTAATGTTTAATCATAGACTAATTAGGCTCAAAACGTTCGTCTCGCAATTTTCAACCAAACTGTGTAATTAGTTTTTTTTTTCGTCTACATCTAATACTCCATACACGTATCATAAGATTCGATATGATGGATACTGCAACACTTTTTGAGAAACTTTTTGGAACTAAAAAAAAAAGCCCTATAATACAGTCAAAAGTCAGCTCTTGCTTCCTGGGATCTGATCAGTGATTAGTACAGCGGTATCCTGTGGCCTCCCTCTCGAGGTGCATAAAAGCACTTGCAGACTTGCTGCACGCCCTGACTGACCTGCTCTGACCTCGCCGTTTTCTTTTCTTCTCTTCTCTGCCGATCCCTTCCCTGCTTGGTGCTTGCATCTCTGTCTCTCCATGGCAGCCATCACCAGCAAGGAGAAGGAGGAGGCTCTCCAGCTGAAGCAAGGGGAGAGCAAGGTGTTCTCCAAGCTGTTCACCAGGGAGAGCTCCGCCGCGGCGCCGTCCTTCCGGGTGTACTACGGCGTCGCCTCGGCGGGCTCCGTGCCCTTCCTGTGGGAGTCGCAGCCGGGCACGCCCAAGAACGACGCCATCTCCACGGCCACCCTGCCGCCGCTCACGCCGCCGCCGTCCTACTACACCGCAGCCAGGCAGCAGCAGCAGCAGGCCGCGCCGCCGCACAGCCTGAGCCACCGCCACCGCCGCAACAGGTCGTCGTCGTCCTCCTCCTCCACCGCCGCCGCCGCCACTGGCAAGAACAACAAGAAGCTGTCGACCAAGCATTACATCAGCATCTTCAGCGCCATGCTGCCCAAGATGATCCTGCACAGGCGGTGGTCGTCCAGGTCGGCGGCCTCGTCCGGCTCGTCGCCCTCCGCCGCGTCGTCCTCCTGCTCCTCCTCCTCGTGGTCGGCGCTCTCCTCCTCGGCGTCGTCGTCGCTGTCACTGTCGTCGTTCCGCAGCGCGCAGTCGCCCGCCGCGTGCTCGTCGATGACTATGAGGAGCCGGGTGTTCGCGTTCTCGGCCGCGGACGACGACAGCGAGGGGGAGCAGGCGGCGGCGCCCATGTGCTTCAGCGTGCGCCACGAGAGCTTCCGGGCGTTCAGGGGCTGCCGCGTCGCCATGACGGTGAAGAGCGCCCTGGCGTCCGTCGGCGGCCATGGTGGGCATGCTGCTGGGCCCACCGCTGCACAGAAGGTGTAGTGTGCTTTTCCGTTATCCTCATGGTCACGGTGCGCCGTGCATGGTGTCGCTGCTGCTTGGAGAGCTGCGATGGAGCTGAGTTACTCTGCGTGTTTTAACGGTGTGCCTTTGTGTGTCTCTTTGACGGAGTAATGTTGAAATATATCTCAAGAAGAGGAGCTCATCAGAGATTCAGAGTGTTATATATAATATGGTGAATTAAGTCTGTAACCGTGTGTAAATTAATATAAACAATAATGTAATGAGAAAGTAGCACTTAGCAAGCATCGGTATGTGATGTTAGATCCCCTTGCAAATCATGTGTAATCATTTAGTAGTACTACAAGAGTATGGACTGCTTTTGCTTTCTGGAAATGATTGCCTGCAAGTCGGTCAATTCAGTTCAGACATGACAGAGAGAGAGAGAAATCCTCATGTAAAAGGTGGGGGAAAACGAGTTTCTTCATTGGACCTTTCTTTAGAAATTCAGGGAAGAAATATATGAGCAAGAATGGTGAAGGAGGACACCCATACAATATTTCTTGGAATTAAGAGATACTGAAAGCAACAATGCCTATGTTTTTCTAGGAAGTCCGGGTCCTGTGCCTCCCTCTCTAGTGAATTGACAAGAGAGCGTTTGTTTATACCACCTCCTAGCATAGCGGCCGCTACCAAGCGCAAGGCAACAGAGTTTAAAGCTGTGCCGGTCCAAACACAAGAGAACAGCGTATTTGGGACATGACTTTGAGGTGAAAATGTTCATGTCGAGAGAACAGCGTGCTTGTTTAAACCTAACTTCGATCTGCAATGTTCACAACCTGGATGAACATCTCTAGCCGGCAACAACATTATATTTCTTCTCCATCCAGAAATGCCTCTGACATTTTTAACCAACAAAACTTGCATTATTGGATTTATATTCAAAGTCTCCGACATTTTTTAGCAACTGACAACATATTGTATGAAATTTAAGGGCCAACATCTATTTTGTATGACTTCTCCAATCAAAGTATGCCTCACATTCTTGGACGGAGGGAGACAGGGTATATCCTAACTAAACCTTCCTTCAGTTTCTCTCTCGGTTGCTCCCGGATTCCCATTTCAGCCTCAGTAATTTTTCAGTAGTAAATGGAAAGCCTGAATGATTTCTTGTTGATCTGAAAATGTATCTCCTTAATCACCAGTCATTATTTTGGCAAGCCTCAGTAACTTCTCAATAGTGCAAGGAATCCACACCGGATGGCCTGATGAACACAGCTAGAGCAGGTTAGCCAGCAGTGACCTGTGAGCGAGACGACTAAAGGAGGCCTACAGGGAGGTGCACAGCACAGTGGCTGCATCTCTTTGGAAAAGGCAACAGAAACTAGGCGGGTTTTGATACTGTTTGGACAGACATTGCCCCATGTGAGGGGCAGGGTAGGGCATCAAGGACACACACGGATGGAGGAGGGAGTGAGAACCGGATCGGAGAGACATGCAATGCAATACAGTGCAACGACCCTTGAACAAGACACTAATCAATGCGCCTTGCATTGCCCCCAACCTATTTAATTCCATGCTGGAGCTAGTAGTACTATTTTAATTAACCCTAAACGAACCATCCATTAACCAGCAGCTGCATGCTGCTCAATCACAAGTCAAGTCCACTCTCTAACTGATGGTCCAGTGCTCAACTCGTCTTGCATTGCTTACTAAATTCATTAGACAAATTAGAGCAATATTCCCTTGCTTTATTTATAGTTGCTATTTGTTGGAACGCAACATCAAATGTGCAGTGTGTGCTGGTTGATCGATACAATGCCTTCAAAACAGGAGCTGAATAATCAGCGAGTTCAGTGAATTTTAAGTGAATTTGCATTGGGACGTTTCGTTCATCTAACAAACCTACACATGCTATGGATTTTCTTAAGTCTTAAGCCAACACGGTAACAAGCGGATTTGTCAAATTTTTTTACTTGTGTCGTCCCTCTCAAAACGAGGGAGGGGGGAAACAGCCTGAATTTTGTCGCAACACGCAATGCAACTTACGAATGATGTGGTTTTGCATTTACCGTCTGAAATGCTAATAACACAGCTCCATAGAAACTTAGGTTCTGTTGGAATCCACCCTAGCTAATTAAACTTTAGCCATCTAATTTGGCTAGCTAAAATTGAGCCAGCTAGAGTTTAGCTAGGGTTGTTTGGATCCTCTAGCTAGCTGGTGTTTATTTATCATGTTGCCCTTACTTTTGTTGAGCCCGATATAGACATAGAAGAAGAGAGGGGCAATTTTGTCTTTAACCATGTTTTAGTTGGGTTGGAACAACTAACGAGATTGTGTACATTTTGACCTTCAACTCAAGTTTAGCTTAATTGTAGCTGCCATTGTTTGGATACCTAGCAGTTAAACTTTACCCACCGGATCCAGGCCCCCCCCCGCCGCTCACCTATATATGCCCCCTATTTAATTCCTTGCTGGAGTTACTAGCTTGATTAACCCTAAACGAACCTTTGTTCCATTAATCAGCTGCAAGCTACTCACAAGTCCACTCTCTACTATAACGCCATTAAAAAGGCCTCGTTCGCGTGCCCTTAAACCCGGCTTGATCCGCTTATTTTTTCATCCGGAACAGTGTTTTTCTCTCACAAATTCCTCCAACATTCCTCCAAATCATCCAGATTCCTCCAAAATTCAGACAAGCGAATAGGCCCATAGTTGTTATTGTTGATCGATACAATTGCAATGCCTTCAAAACTGGAGCTATCTGAATAATAAGCGGCCGCGATATTATTATATATATAGTGCGAGTTCAGTGAATTTGCATTGGGACGTTTCATTCATCTAACAAACCTACGCATGCCACGAATTTAATCAAGTAAACCGTTAGTTAATTCATTCGTTCGTCTAATAACAAGAAGACGAACACGTTATTGACGATGCACGCTTCAGTTCAGTTAGCAGTCTACGGTTACAAAGACAGGCAGTGACGTGTGCAGTTGCGGCAGCACAACCACACCCCAACACCCACGCCCGTCAGCCGTCATGCCGATGCAGACGGCCATCCAAAGCCTCCTCTGAATTCCGGTCCCCCTGAGCTCGAGTGCAGTGACAGTACCTGTTGTTTTCAGGCTGCTTCTCCGGATCCAGCAGGCAGTTTTTTCAAAGCGCGACAGCAGCGACTCATGGGCGCCATGACTCCATGCGATCGTCACCCAGCTCCTCCGAATCCAGTCCTGTATGTAACTCTCACGAAAATCTACGGCGACGTTAGGTGAATCGACGACAGGCGCCCGTCGATGCATGCACTTCACTGCACTGCGCCGCTGAACGTGATCGGTCGGTACTAGCCGCCTACGTTGCTGTTGCCGGTTGACCTGGGCCGCTGGGCGACACAGCCTACTGAAAAGGAGGCCCATTGCAGTGCATGCCCGTCCGTCTCTGATGTTGCGTTCGCCGAAAGGTGGAAGCTTGCAAATCAATCCCTTATCGCTCCCTTATCTCGCGTGCACGTATGGTATTGTCGATCGAGGACGAAAGCGTGAAGAATGAACCCTATAATAACTGAAATCAAAGAACGTCTCCTGCACTGCACCGAAGATCGTTTCTGGAGGTGCAGAGCTGTTGAGACTTCAGAGCTCAGACATGATAAGCTAGCTACTACAACAGTTGAAGCAGCTTGGAAGCTTTTAATAAATCTTTGTTTAAGATTCTACGCAGCATCGTGCCGGCACAGTAAAACACAGCTGCCAACTGTTGCGAGTTCTACGTTCCACGGTCGCCGACGCTGCACCCACTGTCCGTTTTTTACTGCCGCCGCATGTTGAGGAGAGGACGACGCTGCAGCCAGGCGTTGACGACGCCCGGCGCCACTCAGTTCCCACCGCGCTCGCTCTCCTGTCATTGCCATGGGATCAGATCGCAACGAGGACGGACATGGAGACGGCACGGGCGAGCACTGAGATCCAGTGACGCCATTGGAAAGGGGTCGTTGAAGTGAAGCGCATTTTTCCTGGGCTGGATCATCCACCGAGCTGAAAGCATGGTTAATAAGCCGGCGAGCAGCTGGCTGTATACTATGCCATGTCATCTCAAGGCAGCGTATGAAAACATTTGTATAATAAGCTGGCTTTTAGTTTTGCTTTTAGGTTTGTATGTGCACATCATCATCTCTTGTGGCTATATCTTTGTTGCCCCTTGCAATGCTAGTTATTTCTACCGTGATGACAGCGGCTCTGTCGCCCGCATCGGCTGGGACTCGGGAAGTGCCCTTCAGCCGGGCGGCAAGTCTACCGCCCGCTCAGTTTTCTCTCATCTGTTCTCACTCTTACAGCTCAGATTTTGTTGACGTGGAACTTCTCCCAGCCTGCTGACTAGACCTTACTATACTTGCTCTGAAGAGAGACATTAATGGGCGAAAGCAGAAAATGGAGGAGACAGCGAGTGATCAAGGACAGAATCTTCAGAACATGTCACTGACAAATACAAATGAATTACTCAGTAACTTCTACTTACATTTGCTGCAAACCTTCGGAGTATCTAGTAACTTCTACTCACAGGTCGCTATACAGACATTTTACGCATGAAGATTGAAGCATAATTCCTCAAAAAAATAAAAAGATTGAAGCATAGCATAGTGCCGATAATCCAGACCTGAAAAATCACTAGGAGCACTAAGAACAGTGAGGAGAAAATGGGAAATTGACCCAAACTAGTGGCACGGAAATAAGGCCTGATCTGATCCTTATCATCAAAATTTCTTTTGACTAGGAGCAACAATGCAGTGCAGACACGACCACATCATTGCCGTTTTGTTCTCGCGTTATTCCTCGCTTGTCCTTGCTGTTGTCACACCCATTGTCACCCATGCCTCCCACCTCGAGCCCACTTCGACAGTGACACGGAGCTGTGTGTCGATCCGATTCTCTCTCGGTGTCGGTGACCCGACAGATTGCTGCTCGCTGATAGCCATAGCAGTAGTAGCAATTGGCATTTTATTGAGCAGAGACCGTTCAGGGCATGTTTGTAGCCGCATGGATTTTCA